TTACATTTTTTTAAACATTTCTATCATTTCAGGGAACCTAAATGCCTTATTTTGTACTAGTTAAAGAAAAACTATTTACTGATGTTTTGTTATGTTAATGTACAGGTTGGGACTGGTGCTCCAAGTTGAAGTGACTGCATTGCATTATATGCAAACATTATGTTAAATAACCAGTCACTTAATCTTTATTCCTGGCAGAAATCCGTTCATTAAGGCCTACAGCAGGTCTTAAGCTTGAATGTTTCAGCGATGTTGACATTTCTGATTTCTCAATTTGTGTATACATTTCTTGATATACTCATAAAAATACTACATACAAACACATCTTTATATACGTATATAAGCATATATAGGAATAAATAACAAATGTATGTAAGCCAATCTGCATTTACAGGACAATCACACTGTACTAGAGGTCGTAGATAACAACCAAATACATTAATGAATTGGCAGTTTAACAAAAGAAGGAAAACTACTCAGTAAGGTTTAAAAAACAGTCTGTGCTTTTGATCACTGAGCAGTACAGAAGAGTAGAGAGGGAATTTTAAGTGTGTAAAACTATGGCAGCTCCCTTGAAAGCAGATCGCCCACAAAGCCATCTGGCTGACCATTCTCCCAAATCCATCCTAGATATTTCTAAAGCAGCCAAAACCACACATGCAACCTGGAAGGATGACCTATACTTGCACTGCATTATCCATATGTACGCAAGTGGCACCAACGTTGCTTCCCACAAAAGCCCTTGAAGGCTGTGTGACCAGGACCTGTCTTGTCACATTATGGAAACAATGTCCTTTTGGATGTAAGATAAGCAGATATCATGGCACATAACAGAGGAGGTGTCACATGCCATTTGACAAACCCCAGACAGCAGGCCAGCAATCGAAGTCGCAAAAAATTCACCTCATTTTCTGTCCATACCTCAGGGAACTTCATGAAAGAGGTGACAGAGAGCAAGCTGGGGTTGCACACATTTGTCTAGCGATCCTCATCCAGTAGTGTACAGGATAGGTACCTGTCCTCCACACGAGATCTGGTTTGCACATTTTCTTGGGCAGCAGAATTTTTCTAAGTCATATTTGTCTATACAGGCTTGTTTCAAGGGCAAGGGACACTCTGAAGAGTTTTCTCATAAATATCAGTCCGTACAAATTTATGTCCTTAGCAGTGGTTGACTCACTAAAACTGGCTATATCTTCATCTTGATCAACATATTTGAGAAATAAAGGACCTCTTAACTGGGCAGGCTATTTCAGCAGCTCCCACTGGCTAAAGAAAGCAGATCCTTTACACTGTACTGCATTCATTTTCTGCCTGACTACTCTTTGACCTTCTTAGCCAAAATTGTCGTTAACTCATTTGCAGCTTTGCGATCGGCTCTACTGCCAAGTATTAAATTTATTCTAGTCTCATTTTAGACTTCATGCAGTAAAAATGCAACAGGCTATTTTCAAAGCAAATGCAGGATTACATGCAGGGTGGCACACATTATCCTGAATATATATGCCTTTAAAACCAAAACGTAGCTGAAGACCACACTTAGTTTCTGCCATATCAAAGTTCTACAAAAGTTGTTCATATTACCCACAATTGGCAAAGTATGTTTCACCAGAAAATGAGCTGTAGATAATTTTAAAATCACATTACTCCTTTTCAGTGGAGTAAAATGCCTGTGGCTTTTACTCCTTTGGTCTGGAGGTTTGCCCCAGAACTTCAGAATTCATTGTGTCCAAGGACTGACAAGAAGGCACTATGTACTCGCATGGACCTCAGCTACATTTTGTCATAACAAGACTCCAGCTACATGAAACTCACTTTGGACTTCAACAAACCAATTTATGATTGAGGAAAAAAGGAAACTAACAGCTTTTGTTCTGTCAATCCAATGCAAACAATAACGGTTTTTTCTTTGTTCGTCCCCCCACCCCCTTCATCCCTAGAAAGTACTAACTATAACCATAGAAGAGTTCTTTCTGGTCAAGCTATTTTAAAAAAAGATTAATGTTTTTGTGTGTGTGTGTTTTATTCTTACTCCAGTGAAGAAAAAGAAAAAAAAAAAAAAACCTACCCTCAAATTGCCTTTAAAATGTGCTGAACACCATTCCCATAGCCATTATTCACCAACCACATCATGTCTTTTGACAACTCAGTTGTTTTTGAAAAGCACTGTTGCCTGATTATAGGGAAACGCTCTAATAAGAAGCACATACACACTTAAATGATGCACTTTTTATGACATCTTTCCAAGAACAACAGTAGCTAATTGTTGAGTTTCCTACCGGGAAATGTCTCTTTAATATGCAGATCTCTTAATGACTACTCTAATGCAAAGTGTTGATGCTACAGTAATTTAATCATATATATAAGAAAAAAGTTTAACTCTTACTCAGAGTATGCTTTATCATCTTTCCAGGTAGCACAAATCCAACGCAGCCCATGTGCCATGTGGTTCACAGCCGCCAAGTGTTCTCTTTATTTTAAATACTATTACTGAATGTATCCGTAGGGTTTTTTAGACCCACTTACTTGGTGCTGACTGGCTTTTGCCAACTGCTCATTGGCTGATTCTACATTAGAAGATGCAGTCTCAATGTTGGCTTCAATACTATCTGCAAATTAAGATAATAGAAGATAATTACAGGGTACAAACCTAAAACAAAGACTTTATACCAACAGCAATTCAGCAATTCACTCATGGGCATAAAGAGATGAGCAGCCTCTTGTTTGCAAGTTCTAGTACTACAGGGAAATAGGAACACCACCCATTTTGATGAACACCTAAGCCATCAATCAGAGGCAGTACGACTGACAGCTCTCCATGTGTCCCCAGACAGGATGGAGGTTAGCAGCTCATCCCATTCCCACTGAAACCAGTGGCAAGACTGATATGGAATTCAAAGGAAAGCAGCTCAAGATGGGTAAATTTACCAGATTACAGTTAAATTACAGAAGGGACGTGGCAGATTGTATCTGAAATTATCTCATTATTAGGGCTCAGGGATAAGATTCATCTGAGTACATGTAGGTTATTGACCATCCCCAGGTGTCTGTACTTGAGCAAATGACCTCGGACACTATCGCAGTCAAGAGAGAGCAAGTCCATAGTGTGCAATTCATCCCACTCTACAGCAGCTGCCTGCTGCTGATCAGATTAGACGAATCACAACCTAAACTCCTGGATCACATTTCCAAGCTGCAAGGGAGGTCTGTACAGATGGCTCAGACTGAGGTACATTGCCGGTACCTAAAATTAAGGGAGAAGAATCTTACCCTAGATTGCTAGGTCTGACATTGGGGGAAGCTGCAGGAACCATGAGGAATCAAAATGAGACTAGAAAAGAAAGATTATCAGCTACACATTGCAGCTGGCAGCTCCCCGCTTTCATCGAAGACAAGTATTAACTTTGACTCCAGAGCTGTGCTTAGAAAGCAAGACACCTATGGTATAAATCCTGAAAATAAGGGTTTGTGTTCCCAGCACTTGGAAATCTTGACCAGCTTGTCCCCTGAGATGTACAGCTAATAATTTCTGGCCGCAATGGAAAAGTATGTGCACTTGGTCTGCTTCTGTGTGTTTTCGAGCAGATATTACACCACAGAGTATATGAAAATGGTCAGGACGAATTCAACTACAGGTAGAAATTGAGAAAAAGGTTCCAGGGATTTCTCTAATCCTTAATAAAATTAATGGAAATTCTTCAACTGATGGTATTAGGAGTTGGATTAAGACATGCCACAGAAGATGTAATTTATTCTCTTGTTTTTGAAGGAAAGAACACTAATTAGTCTAGTCACTTTTGTGATGGGTAAAGAAATGAGGGTTTGCAGATAAACTGTGGAAAGTGGTTGTGTTCAGGTTTTGCCACTTTTAAGTGAAACAGTGTTGCAAGTCTGTTAATGTAATTATGTATTTCTGATAACTTCAAAACAAAACAAAAGAACAAAGAAACCACAAACCAACAGAACCATGTAATAAACAAACTTCAGCTTAACACTTGGAAACCGTTAGAAGTCTTCTATTACAACTGGGAGAGTTGGTTTTCCATTCCTTTTATTTTAGATTATGCATGCTGTAGTACACAAGAAAAAAACTACATGGTTGGCACTTTTATAGATTAATATAGCATAATTTTATTGGTTTTATCCAATGCTTCTCAAACCATTTTTATTAAGACATTAACACCGTGGACCTTGGTTGACATCACTGACCTCTGCCCAAATGCTTTCC